GTCACTTCCACATACCTTGGTCATCCAGGCTGGAGTCCATAATCTGGGTAAACCCCTGCTGAGAGCACAGTATACTTCAAAGTGTAGTTAACTGTTAAATACTATCCAGTACTGTCTTTAAACTGATTTAAAATACTACTAATATTGTGCCGTCTCATTTCCCCAACATTATATAGCTTGCATGGGTATTTTGAATTCTAATTTATTCATACTGGCTATTTTGTATCTTTCATCCAGCCCATATATTGTTTTCTTTACTGCAGCTCTTCATACTAGATTTTGATGTATTTGCATCAGCCATACAAGAAAATTATATACAAAGCAAGGAAAAGTGAACATGTTTAACAGAATAATTTATCTTCACTCTAATTTAAAAATGAATGTTGAACTCACCTTTTTGGAGAAAGAATGTTGGCATTTACATGTCTGGGGTTATTATTTTTAGTTTCACTTACCATTTAGGTTAGACAAGAAAAACTATGAAAATAAAATAAATTTCATATCATTTGAGGGGAAAAAAGAGCTTGTCTTCATGATAAATTTGTTTCTTCAAAAGATCTTTCTTATGACCTATTTTGTCAGCAAGTTCTTGTATCTGGGAGGATTATTTCTGTTGGCTTGATGATCTCAAAACGATAGAGTGAGATTAATAATATAAATACAGGTTTTCCTTGTTCCATTGATTTATTGGGTCCCAAATCTCTGAACACGCGCCCATTTTAGTCATTTTACTTTTGAGAGCAATGACAAAGAAGTTATTCACATGTATGAGTGTTTGTTAGCTGCAGTCGGTTAGCAACATAATAAAAAGAAAGAATACCTCCTGTGAAAGTATCATTATAATATTTTAGATTAATCAGATATGTAGAAGCATAATCTATTACTGGGAATTGTGAGGAGAGGCTTAAGAAATATCTTTGCCTGAAATGTGGCAATGTCCCTGCTTCTATTCCACCACTTTCACTGTAGATGTCATTTCATCCAATGTGAGCATATGAAAGTTACTTTCTGAGTCTGAGGTTTCACAATTCTCTTAATCTGATCTCTGGGCTGGCCAGTCCTCAAAAGAGCAGTCTTGGTCTACCCATGTTTGGACATGTGTTCCCTCTTCCTCTGTGCCATACATTAACATTGTTATAATTGGTGGGAGACTTGGATCAGGGGACTGATCGTATTGAGACTTGATTTTGTTCATTTAGTTTTTTCTGAAGGAACATGAACCAAGTTGCCTATGGGTCAACAGACAATGTTCTCATTGCAATAGGCAAACTGCATACTGGAGTATGCCAGAATGAGTATGATCAGCAAACTGAGGATGTTTTTATTTCCCTCTGGTGCTGGTGAGGCTGTACCTGGAATAGTGTTTAGTGGTCAGGGCTCCCTGCTCCTGGAAGCATAGGAAGAAATTGGAGGGAGTCTACAGGTAGCCCTGTGGTCAGAGCAATTGAAGGAGCTGAGATTATTTAGTCTGTTGAGGTGAAGCTCACAGTGGACTGTAGTTATTTGAAGGAGAGTTACAGACAGGATGGAGCCAAAGTCCATTTGGAGATGCTGGGTAATATAACACAGAACAATGGCTACAAACTGCAAGCTGAGAGATTCAAGTAGGACCCTACAAGGCTGATGCAGCACTGGAGCAGGCTGCCCGCTGAGGTTCTAGCACCTCCATCCTTGGTGGCTTTCAGGACTTGACTATCAAAACCCCAGCTGAGCTGAACTGGTACTGGTGACAGCCCTCCTCTCAGTGGGAGGCTGAACTAGATGGCCTCCAGAGGTCCTTATAATGAACATTTCTCTCTTGCTGTGAAAGTTATTAGACTTAGGCCTAAGTCTAAGACCCCTTACAACACACACAAAAAAAGGAATAGGTACTTACAAAAAACATTTATTGATTCATCTCATGCTAACATAGGTTTCTAAGGCAGGTTAGGAGGTGGTTTCTTTCCACTAACTGGTAAATCTTTTAAGACTAGTTTAGATTTTGAACATTAATGCTGAGATACCCAACCTTAGGTGAAGCTCATCTCAGCCTAAACAATGTTATTTCACCTGATGGAGTGGTAACTTGTTACATTGTTGTCATGTCCTTCATTGCTGTCATCTGACCTCAGAACTGGAATTTAAATTAGAAAATGTCCAAGTGAGTACAGATGTTTAGTATCTATTTTCCAGAAAGATCTTTTCTACCAAGATACAGCAACTTTCTTACAGAGAAAATAAGTTAAAATATGTTTTAAGACAGTTTCTTTACAAGATTTTAAGATTTCTGTATTACTGTATAATGTAAATCTACAAATATTTGAGAATGTAAACCTACAAATACAAATACAAATACAAATACAAATACAAATACAAATACAAATACAAATACAAATACAAATACAAATACAAATACAAAAAATATTGGGGTGTGATGTGTATGTTTTATTTGATGTTAGTCTTGGAAACTTAGGACATGCAATCTTCCAACAATAATCAATCATAGGACATACAAATTTAAATAGACTTAATTATTTCTCTCTCACAAACACACAGACACACAGAAAACTGTGGAAGCTCTGTGGAAAACAGCGCTTTGTACAACCTCCCTGTCATGTTGTTCACGTGTCTAGTAGAAGCGGTTGTGTTTTTATTTGTCACTTGATCCGTATGTGTCAAGCACAACAAAAAGGGTATCTAGTCCTCCCCCACAGTAGCAAACTACAGTGAGGAAATGTGTAAACAGAGGCTTGCTGGTGAATCATCCACATCCACAAAGTCTGCTTCTTACCAGTATAGCAGGAGAGGCCCTTCTGTCAGTTTGAAATGATTCCCAGCCTCTGGAAGGCATACACTGATGGATTAAAACAAAATCCCCCCATAAACTCTCCCCAGGCACGCTGAGGTAGGGGAAGAAGCATCTGGCTTGCCAACAAACAGGAGACCTTAAACAAACACCCAAAGAAGTAAAAAAAAACAGTGGCCTGGCAGGGATAGAGCTGAGACCTAGCTAGCTTTTGGACAACTTTCTGGCAGCAGTCATAGGTACAAGCCTTATTTTGAAGTTAGACTATCTACCCTACTGCATATTTGGAACATTGGCACTGATTTATGTTAGTGAGGAAATGAGAGAAGCTATTCATTTGTACTGTTGAGTGTGGATCTTTGGAAGATGGTGCTTAGAGATGCAAAAAATTATCAGACAGTTAAAATCTTTGGATTTTAACAAACCAGTGAAGCAGTTGTTAGCAGAAGGTAGAGGATCGGCAAAAAGTCAGAAGTTAAAAAACCAAGTCTCAGCTTGTTCTTCCTTATCAATCAGGGTAATAAACTGCACACAGACAGGCAACCCCTCTCAGTAAAACCTCAGAAAGTCTTTGAATTAAAAGTGAAAAATAGATCTTCTGGGCTGCTTCCTCTGTATCACTTCAGATTGTGGCAAGTGCATTTTTCATCCAGCAGCGAAAGAAACAGGCCCGTGTTATCTGAGACTAGGCTTTTCATGCTTTTCACTGGGGGGGTTTCTCAAGCTTGCCTTGCGGTGTTGGTTTTAGTTTGTCAGATCTGCTGGGGACAGTAGTGCGTCTATCAATGGACTGTTCGACTACGTGTTTCATTGCGCTCAACTGCATTAAAATTAATTTGTCTCTACCATGCAACTTTATGCTGTTTTAAAAGCTGTGATCAACCTATCAGCAGTAGTGTTTCCTGGATAAACATAATTTTTCTCATTCCATTCCCTCATGCACGCTACAACCTCTGTCAGTACTAAAAACAATAATGACTAACTTCTTTAAAATATATGAAAGATGTGAGACAGCTTCTTATCTGTACAGAGAAAGTACTTCTAAATAACGGGCAACATCACAATGGTGCTATAAGGGTCAATCTACTCAGAATATGTGTTTCATATTTTATATTTCTGTCTTTTTTTTGCCTTCAAGTCAAGATCCCAGTTAAAGTCCATTCTCCTATTTGTCATTCAAGGCCAGATATAATTTCAGCAAGCTTTAAAATTGGATTTTCATATACCAGCATGTATAACTTTTTTTTGTACTGAATTTACAAAAAAAGTATACATGCGTGTGCACATGTGTGTGTGCTTGCATATATATATATATAGTTGCGGTTAGAGATGTAATTTTTGAGCTGAATGTTATAAAGGAGATTTCAGAGATTTGTGATTTAAAATATACTGTCCTGTCTTGTTATAGTAGGACTTTCTCCAGTATATCAGAATTATCTGCCAACTTGATTACATTGCCTGTGATTTCAATCAATTCTGCTATTTGAATTCTAAACAATAGCTTTGATCTACAGCTTGATATTAACACCTGAAGCAGCTCGATCTCAAGGGATATTTTAAAATATTTCCTGCATGTGTATATATATATTTGTACATTGCACAAAATAATTTTTAAGACAGCCAACTTCCAAATAGTAGTGTGTGAATAAAACAGTAATTGTACATTTAGAGACCATCTGTTTGTTATGATGGAGTTTTATTTCTTTCATTTCTATACATGATTATTTTGCAGAGTGTAACTGCACATTTACATTGACTGTTTGACTTACTCCTCTTGCCTGGGAGGACTTGAAGTCTTTTATGAGAAAGGAAGATAATAACTCTGTCACTATTACTGTTTGCTACCTCAAATAATAAAATATTAGGAGGCTTAAACTTTTTATTAGAGTGACTGTTGTCACTTCAGTATTATACATCTACAAATACAGAGAAGTCATGTGGAAGCAAAGAGTCCTGCTATGTGAATGTATTCAGCTGGAGTCGATGAAGGTGATAGCTATATAAATGTAACTAGACATTCATATAGTTCTATTTTAAAATTCTTCCTGCAAAATCTCTGTTTTGAAAGTTATTTTGCAGCTGTTAAAAATGAGTGCTGAAAATAGAATTGCATTTTTCACACTAACTTTGAGTTCTATAAGTTTTGTTATATTTGGATGTAATTATGACAGTTCTTAATATCAAGAAATTATAATTTATCTCTTTTTCTTTGCAGAGTCACAGTGTACACTCTGTGGGGAGCCTGAAGGTGAGTGTGTTTTCTTACTAATATTTTTCAAAAAAGTTAGGGGTGAACACTTGACTCAAATGATACACATGTAAAATAGATTGGAAATGGTATCAAAATTATGAGAACCAATGAAAGACAGTTTCCCCTATGTCAAATACCAAAAATTAATTGAATTAAGCCGAGTAAAGCACAGTACATGCTCCAGGTAGGAAATATCTTAAAGGACAAGTATTCCAATAGAGCAAAAATTGAAATATTTACTTCTTATTCTTCTGTGTGTTTATTAAACTAATTTAGAGTAAGAGAGAATGTGAAGACACATTTAAGGACATAATTTTGAGGATGGAAAACAAAGAGATTGGACATAAAAGGGTAATGGGAAAATGTTTTTATATTCGATATTACATTTACAGAGAACTGTGAGAGGCTAACAATTTTTAGCAGGTGAAGTGAATAAATATTGCTTCTGAAATAAAGATAATTAAGCAATAACTGTTATGCAGTGCAAATACATGCCCACATGAAGGTGTTTGGTGGTTTGTTTTGTCTGGGTTTTTTTTTCCAAGTGACTAATTAAATGCCAAGGTGAGACTCACAATTCACCTAAACACTGAAGCAATGAGGTTATGATTTTTAAAGTAGGTCATTACTGAGGAAAATATCCCTTATTTATTATTTTATTTATTTATTTAACATTGGCGTTGTTATAAAGAAAATGTCAAAAAGCTGACCTTATTTCAAATCAACGATCTGGTGTCTTTTAAAGAAACATAGTTCAAAATAGCAAATGTAAACGCTGGAGCAAAGTATATTAATGAAAAAATAAAATTATAGATTCTTAACTGATCACAGAAATGTTTGTCTTTATCTTGAATAGTGTCTGAAAAACAAGTCCAACTTCTAATGTTTTATAAATTTAGGAGGGAGAAGTTATTAAGAGATGAAGCCTGGAAGTGAAAGGCTTTGAGACCTGGCGACTAATGAAATAACTCAGAAAATTAACTTTTTTATCTACTGACAAATAATTGTTTTAGAGATTTGTTTTGGCTTTGCATTCCTTTAATAAACAGTCAGTTCTTGATTTGTTCATTCTCTTTGTCCTTTAGTTGTTAAATTTATAACAGGAAACATAAGACAGGTGGTTGTTTGCTTTTGATCCGATAGTCCTTTCATGATCAGGCTGTCCAACTTTAAAGTTATGCATTGGATTAGTGCTGCTAATGGTATGCCTGCTTTATAACAATAATTCTCCTTTCTTTTCATTACTGCTCTTTCATACTGGTTCAGCTTTGAAAAGTTAATAAATGTATGTGGACTTACTTTGTAAAAAGGGAATTCCCCAAAAAATCAGTAATAAAAATGTTTTACATTTATATGACTAAAACCCACAATCAAAATATAATTATATATATTGTTGTAGGAACAGTGCTCAGGAACATAATGTTAAGTTTTTAACTGAGTAGAAATGCACTTTCCCAGGAATGAATGTCTCCTGGATCACCATACTCTCTCCTCAAACACAGTATTACTGGAATGCTAATTATTAATTCTCTGCCTCAATTTTAAAAATACTGAAATTAATGTCATTTTAGATTAGTGACAAGACTTAGAGTCTTAAGTTTTTTCCTTGCCAGATTAGCACAATTTCTGATATAACACTGTACATTCACAGAAATTTTATATGTGTTTCTGTGATGAAGTAGTTGCTCAATAGATATGACTTTAGTTTTTAGGCAGCTATTCTAAAAGCAACTTCACATCTTTGTTGTATAAATCAAAACTGAAAAAAAACAATTTAAGTCTCAAAAAATATAATTTTCCTCTGAAACTTTCTATAAATTTTGCTACAGTTTCATAGTAAACTGAGTTATTTAGAAACACAGGAAATAATGAAAAAATCAACTTTTTACAATTGGAATTCCTGACTTTTCTCTGTAACTTTCTTCAGAAATTAGAGATACTCTGTGACTTGTAGTTTGCATTTTTGGTATCTGAGGCAAATTCAAAGAATATCAGTTAATGGTACATATGGTTTGCCTCCAGGTTCCCTTTTTCCTCCTCTGTTTCAGACAAAAATCAAAGTTCACTAAGGACATTAATGTAGTCTAGTATATTAAGATGAATCTTCAAACTTGTAGGACAGATACACCATGGTGTAGGCCTCCTATTTTAATTTCTGAAGTGGTAAACAGAGACTCATTTATGAAATTGTAGATTTGAAGAAATCTCCCTGACTTGGGAGAGAGAAAGACAAGACTTAACATCTTACCACTTCTGAGTTCCTCTAAAGCTTATGCCATTTATTGAAAAACCTACAGGCAGCTAGCGGTGAGTTTCTGAACAGCTTCTGCCTTCTATAAGAAAGGTGGCAGAATGGAAGCGTATTGCAAGACACAGATTCTGTTTGTCAAATTGGTCAGCTGCAGTCCTCACTGTTCTTGTGATGCTTCATCCTTTCTCTAACCATCACTCCTCTTTCAAAACCCACAGTTTGGTCCTGGATTACCATCTATCCAAGTGTAATAGGAAGTGACTGCATAAAACAATGCTCTTTGCTGAGGGCATTTTGCAAAGTTTTAGCAGTTAGTGCTGCACTTCAGGAAGCAAGTGCGTTAATCTGCATGCACATTGTCGCACAGGTGTGGGACAATGCACGTGCATGTTTTATAGAGTGAAAAATTATCAGCTGTGGGAGGGCATTATAAACTATCAAAATACAAACTTCATGTTTCAGTGTCTCACTTGTGGAATTTGTGGATCTGTAGATAAATGTGTGTCATGTGTCCTCCTTTGCAGCCCATCTAAAGAGAATGAGCTGGACAACACTGAGGTGTCTGTTTGAGAATCAGTCTTTCGTATGAGCTGCAAAACCTTATGTGTTCTGTTTCAAAAATCATAGGTTTGCTCTGTGTTATTGACAAGCACATCAATTACCATTCCTGTCAGTGTGAGATGCCTGAAGACCAGGAGGCCTGATTTATACTGGGAGAAAATTAAAGTTGCAGAAGGCAGAGCTAGTGGTCTGATAAATTCCATTAGTATAGAGACTTCAAGCTGCTCCATCTTCTGGAAATGCAAGAGCAGCAATGACGTGTTTTCAGACAGATGACAACAGTCACCTTTGCAGGAGTAACCCGCAGTTGGCAGATTATGTTGTCATGGTAAACACTGTTGGGTTGTTTGGGTTTTTTTTCCTGCTCATATTTTTTCCTGCTCAGATGGCATGTTATAGACACATGTCTAGCTCAGTCTTTGTGACAGTCAATGTACTCTGTTAGAAAGACTGGTGTGGTCATGATAAGTTTGAAGTTTCAGAAACAGTTACCACAATTAAGCCTCAAGTAGACATTTCAGTTCTTTCTAACTCCTGGTATTTATTCACAGAAGTTTTTGAAAGGACTATATTAATAAATAGAATTTTCTATATTATCTCCTCATATTAGCAAATAAGTAAGTTTGATGGCAGCTAAGATTTCCATAGATCACTCTGTCCTCTCAAAGCCTATGCAAATGGAAGCTTTTCTTTCATTTTAATATCTTTCAGAACTCCAGTAGTGACTTAATGTTTCTATTCATGGCTTTTGTCACTGTATATTTATGATTATTCTGTTTTTTTCCTTCTTAAATAAAAGGAGTCCTGTACAATACCAGCACTTCTTAACTTTTGTAAAAACAGACACCTTTACACAGTCTTTGGCAGCACAAGATTTATCTGAACACATATATCTGGAAAATGTGGTGTTAAAAAAGAATACCACTGAATGGGGATGTTTCTAGTGAAGTTTGAGAAGAATTAATACAAGGTCTGACTCTGTCCAGCTTCTCCATCTATTGCCCGTTTCAACAAAAGAAAATAATTATAATGATACAACTTCTTTCAGGTATTCCTTTAGCTGCTAGAAGCTATAGATTACTGAATCCAGGTAAAGCTTCATTGTATGTTCTGCTTCTCTTTTGACACTTATCTCTTAAAACTAGGGAAAGCATGGAAAATTGCTTTTTTCCAAGAATCTGCTACCGGTGGCTATGAGGGACAGAACACCAGGGACACTGGCCTCTGATCTGACCCTCTGTTGTTGGTCTTAAGGTCCTGTTGGATTCTTATTACTCTGAGATAAAAAAGAGTGGCTATGTGTACAATTTTATTTGGATAGCCATACGAGGGAAAACCCAGGTTAACTTTGCTGAAGGTGTTAAGCCTTCTCTCCTGTTATCATGATACTGAGAGTAATTGCCAATTTATTTACAAGCATTGCATGATGAAAATAAGCTTTTCTGTGTAGACGTCCCTGATGCATTATGAGAGTGGCAGAATATGGTGAGCAACTACGCAGAGACTGTGGAAGTAGAGAGCAGGCAGTCCTACCTATTTTTTACTCTGTTATCTGGTACCTCTTCATCTTGCAGTCTACATACGGACTGTAGTATTCATATCTCATTCTACTAGAGATATTATGTGGCAAATGTCCTTTCAGTTCCACAGCATGTAGTAATCGTCTGACTCACCATGCATTGTGAAAGATATTGATATATACAAAGGCTATGAGTAACAATACTTCTCTACTTTGCTGGGACCTACATTAACTATAACACCATAGAACAGTTCAGTGAAGAACTTTAGTTAGGATGATAGTTAAAGCAAACAAGCAAAATATGAATATTTGTAAAGAATGAGATGGAGAGTACAATGCAGTACATTAAAACACCGCTTGTGCGTGCTAGAACTACTCTAGCCTGAACTACTGAGTTGAATCTTTGTTTATAAATCTATATATATATATAGATTTATATATATATATAATTTATATAGTAAACTTGATGGGATACATAAGAAGCAATCCTACATAAATAAATACTGAGATAGTTTGCTGCTTGTAATGTAGAGAAGGTACCAATAGAAAAACCCCCAAACAAACAAACAAACAAACAAAAACCAAAATACATCTACTGCACTTTTAATACTGTAGTAAATGATACATCCCATTTTCCACGGGACCATGGAATCCATGCATTCCAGC